TAAATATATTTTTATATTTGCATCATACTTTATAAGTTATTTTTCCAAGCATAATGTACCTTTCTTTGAAATAAGATGTAATATTTTAACGTGCATTTACACTCATACAGAATTTTCAACTGAGGAAAAAGCCTGATTCAATGCTAATAAAAAAGGTATAAGATCTCTTATATTTTTATTAACACTGGATGATTTATGATTGTACAAATTCCCTGCAACAATTAGAATATAATTATATTTCATTCTTATTCCATATCTTTTTTAAAAATATTAAAAAAAGATCGTTACCTATTAACCACATAGTTTCTCTTCTAATGTGCATATAAGGATGCGATAACAATTTATTCAATAAAATATATAAATCTTCGTTTGAGTATTTCGGATTCCTCAAAAGAATATCTATTCTATCTTCATAGGAATTATGCAATGTATTAGCTAGAATACGTATAGATGCTGTAATCTAATAGAGTTAAAAATATGATTCTTAATATATTAGAAAATTTCATATTTTGTTATATAAAGAAGAAAAAACAAACCTTGCTAGCTTGAACGATTCCATCTGAATTGGAAAATGTTACGTAAAGATAGTCAACGACTTGTGGCAAAATAGTGTACAAAGATTTAGTACATATTGGTGAAGAAGACAATAAAGCTAATAACCAAATATAATTAGGATTTTTGTACAAGAGATTCCGTTTTATGGTAACTTCAATCAGCTCTGACATTTCACTTTCTCTGTAAATATCAGAAAAATATATTAAATTTTCTCTTATAAATTTTACATTTTTATATTGCAATATATAAAAATAAATAATACTTACGATATCTTGTGAAATCCCACATATATGTAATGTAAGAGCGCATATATTACAGAAGGAAGAACTGAGTCGTCACAGTTGTGTAACAATAAAATTACATATTTCAGGCAATGCTGAGCATGCAAGATAGAGAAAGCCTTATTGCTTCCTGCAACTAAATTACCAATTGTCCAAATGCAAACATCCTAATAAAATACGAATTCATGTATTTCAAGTTCACTTTACTTCATTGTCTTTTATTATTTTATTTCTTTTATTTAATACTGAAAAAACTTACCAGCAACGCATAATTTAAACTTTCTAATTTGACAATCAGATATGGAATAACTGCTTTTCCCAATGCTGTGCATGCTTTCGTATTTCCCAAAGCAATATTACAACAGCAATTGGCTGCATATAATTGAAAAATTGGATCATTGCCAGATAGATCACGCACAAGGCTCGATAAGCTTTGATCTACTTTTAAAAAAGCATTTATGTTCTCCTCCGACTGAAATATAAAATACCACATATATTATTTTATATTATATACTATGTATATATAT